AGGATATTAGAATTCAGAGAAGTTACATATCATGTTCAGAGTTAAAAGGTAGTAAATGTTGTGACTAGGATTCAAACTTAGATTTATCTAACACTATCACATAAACATCTTAAATCAGGTGTTGCTTCACCCCAACTGCAAGGGAAAATGAAGGGGAGAAAAAGTACACTAATTTATTGGATTCTATCTTGGTATCATTCATGTTATATAAAATAAAATTTTAGGAATAAGAACTGTTTAAATTTCAAAAAATTTCATAAGACTAAGAGCACCTATATGGAAAGTTACTAAAATGGGGATGTGTTAAGGGGAGATTAATAATCAAGCATAGAACTAAAAACGAAAAGGAAGACAGTGTTTACTCTGAGACAATCAAATATACAATTTTAGGCTGAATGAAAAAAATGTACTTTTTGGCTTCCCGAGTCTTACATAATGAGAACAAAGTTTATCTGTTGCTTTGGCACAATGACCAAACGAAGTCTCCTAAGTATTTCCTGAAAATTGAGCAATAATATAATTTCTACACATATTCCCCTAAAATGTAACTGATTATCTTTTGATTTGTGAAGAATTTCTCTTTTTTAGGTTATAATTTGTTTTAAACATTTTTTTCTAATTAAGGTAACATATACTCACTATAGAAAATATGGAAAATATTTATGCTCTAGATAGTTTTCGTTCTTTAATTTTCTGTGCCTCATCCTGCCAGGAACTTAGTCCCACAGGTGACATTTAGATTCCTAGAAAAAAGACACCCAAGGAGAATGCAAATGATTACAGAACAAAAATACACAAAAATAAAACAGCTATATCTACTATTTCTTTATCCAGTTGTCTAACTGAAGTGCTTAAACATATGTTCAACAATAAAGCATAATAAACTATCTTCCCAGGTATTTGAAAAACCTAATTTTTACCATGGTTTGCTGAAGAACAGACTAGTAATGAAGACACTTTTTTTTTAAGGTGAGAATTATTAGTAGAAAATGAATGCCACCTAAGTGTCTCAGCCAGGAATGGGAACTCAGCTTCTGAGTGCTAATTCTGACTGAGTGATGTGTTTGGAGAGCTCTGCTGAGAGCTAATCTGAAGCAGCTTTCAGGCTAATAAAAGAGTGTTTCATAATTGATTAGCAAGTCTAATATCATCACAAGAATAGGTACTACTTACCATATGCCACAAAATAAGAATAGAGGTACAGAAAGAGATCATGAACTATGATCCAGATAAGTACATTAATAAAGAAAATGTTGCTAAAAAAAGAAATTTAAAGTGAGATTTCACAAATGTGGCTCAAATATTTGGCAGAATGATCTGAAGAGACTGCAAAGAAAGGGAAACTTTAAAGAAGGACCAAACAGTTAAAGAGGGTAGAGAGACTGGGCACAAAAAGCTAAGACAAAAGATGGGCCAGCATATAACTCAAAGGACAGATGACACGTGAGCAAATATTCAGGAAAGCAGAAGACGGGTATATGCTGAGGTTGCCTGCGACGTACCTCAGTAGGAAGCTGATTAAACTGTATCACTAGGCCATCTACAGCTGTAGCTATACCAATAAGAGCAACAACCTTTTGTGGCCTTGCAATTGCAGCATGAAGCATAAGCCATCCACCGAGGCTGGATCCAACTAGTATCTAAAATTAAAAATATATATAGTTTTAAAGAAGAATTTATTTTTCTTTTCTGTAAGGGGACTAATAGAATACATGAACCTTTATATACATTAGCTCCCAGACTTATAATATTTGACATAAAATAGTTAAAATTATGATTACTTTTTGTTATAGTACTAGGTCTATAATAAAGAATAAATTATAAAAATAAAATTTATAAATGTCAAGTAAAACACTACATTTTATGAGAAAGTGAAAATAAGAGAACAATTTAAAATCAAATATCAAAATTGCTAAACATTTAAAATATTAATGTTAATAATCATATTTAACAAAAACAGTTACCTGTGGGCCCACAGCTAAGTCATCAATTATAGAAAGAACATCTTTTCTCCATTTTCCCACTGTGCATTCTTGTAAATTACCATCTGAATTTCCAACTCCTGAGTAATCAAACCTAGAAAAAGAGAAAACATCCAAATATAGATATCTATGTATTTGCTTCTCTGATTATTAAGGAAGATAGCATTATTTATCATTACTATAATCTCTAAAATATATTAAATCATTGAAGTCAATAAATATTTCAGCAAATCCTTGGCTTAACCTTCAAGCATCTCCTATATACACTCACTTTCTCATCCTCCACTGCTACCAGCCCAGTCCAGTAACTATCCTCTCCCGACTGGACTAATGCTGTTCTCCTAGTAAGTTCCCGTTTGCATTTTTCACTCTTGTAGTCTATTCCCCACATGGCAGTGATCCTTCTAAAACAAAAATCGTGTCTTGCACAAACCCTCCAAAGGCTTCCCCATAATCTTTAAATAAAATCCAAAATCTTTACCATACTCTGGTCCCTGACTACCTCGTTGATCTCATTTTACTGTTCTCTCCCTCCCTCCCAAATGCATCATTTTCCTTCTTGAAGTTAATGGAATACATCACCCACATTTCTGCCTTGGGAGTTTTATACCAGCTTTTCCCTCTATAATGAATACTCTACCTCCGGATACCCACTTAGTTTTCCCTCATTTCATCCAGGTCTTTGGTTCAAATGTTACATCCCCAGACATACCTTCTCTTACTATTCAATCTGAAATTGCGCTTCTCTTGTCATTCTCTATTTCCTCACCTTGCTTCATTTCCTTCAGAGCAAGTATTGTTACTTGATGTTATATATTGTGATTATCCGTCTGTGTGTTTGTGGCCTGTCTCCCACTCCAGAATGGAAGCTCCCTATGCGCAGACTTTGTTTTGCTCACCACTGTTTTTCCAATGCCTACATCAGCACCTTGCACACTAAGTGTTTAGTATATATTTACTCGATTAATGGAAGGGAAGAGACCAGAATCAAATTCATTATCACCAGCCCACCAACTTAGTGTGTTTCTCCACCTTCCTTAGTCCTGTAGACACAGTCTGATTTGTGAATTTTACCTCCTTCAAAGTCTCAATTTAATAAGTCAGAAAGTATCCTGCTACTCCTGCAGATTATCCTAAATGCCAGTCACGGTGAACTACTCCCAATCCCTGGATGAGCCCTTCTGTAGCTTTGAGTCTACATGCTGCTCCACCTCTCTCCCCACCCAAACTCCTAGCCATCCTTTAAGTCAGGTCACCTCCTCTAAGGAAATTTGACATGTACACCCTGTGCATTTCCAGTCAGTCACCTTCTTTTGTATGGGCTCAATTAACACTTTTCATACTGTATCTTATAATCAAGTTTTAAATATTGTCTCTCTCTGACTAGACTGTCAGATCTTCAAGGGCAGACTGTTTTATTCAGATGTGTTTTTTCAGGGCACAGAACATTGCCTACCCTGTACCATCACTCTCATTTCTACTCATATTTGTCCTTATCTCTGCAATCTGGTGAAACAGGTATCTTGGTGTGGGTCTTTGTTATCTCCAAACCCAGCCTATCACAGCAGCCTCTTGTGTCTCAATGACTCTTCTCTCTCCAGAGGGATTCACTTTATACCTTCAGGCTTTTCCTAAAACACTGTACTGGATGTGGCATTAACTTCAATGTCTCCCTGTAACATACAACATAAAAATGCAGTGCTTTAGCCTGTTTCCTTTAGACCATTATACTCTGGTCATCTTGGATTGAACTTCTACCATTTCATCAGAAAATCCATGCTTTAGTCACATTGATCAATTTGCTGATCTTAAAATGGGCTCTATGTCTTCTGTCTCTGTTTCATGCCTTATACTATTTCCTTCACCTGGGATACCTTTTCAAAGCTTAGTCCAAAATGATGGTTTTTTGCTAGAAAGGCTTCCTAGACAAGCTGAAAAAAACTCTCTACCTAATCAAACTTCTATAGAGATCACTTTTATCAGTCACATCCACTTATTATATTTTTCATTCTTAGACAGTTTTTGTATGTATATGGGACCGTTTTTGTATGTATATGGGTCTCATTCATATGAGACTCAAAGATCCTGGAGGGTAAACACCATTATCTTATTTTTGCCTCTGCATTCTCCACAGTGGCTAGGCAGGTAAACCTCACACATTGGGTACTATGGTGCACACTAACTGAACAGAAGTAGAAGGTAAAAGTAAAAAGAATTAATTTATTCAAATGTAAAGCTTTCATGTTTTTCTTACTCTTAAAATCTGGTGAAAATTAATAAATCCTAGAGTTTTTAGTGTACACATAAGAATTTATATGTAATATATATTTTCACAGACATAAGGGATTTATAAGTGATGGAAGAAGAAGAAATTAAAATTTTTCTTAGGTAGTAAGTGAAATGATTTCGGGTCCTTGAGAAATTGTAGCAAGGCAACTGCTGAATCAGGGTTAGTATTTCTCTTCAGTCCAGGGGACACAGCAGACAGACCCAAGAGAAACAAGGAGAAAGGCACCAGCTAATCCTCCTTTTCCCTCCTTCGGGGGCAACTGGATATCTCTACTTGCTGCCATCTTTTACAGCTGCCTTCCAAATACATGGTGAAGATGCAAAAATACATGTAGAGCCCCTTCAAAAATATAAACATTTTATGACACTAATAGGTTACAAGTAAAAAATAGAGTTCATTGTTGCTAAATGCTAACCAAGAGACAAAGATAATTGTAACATATTCAGCAGCTTAGGACTTTGAACACAGTAACACAACTCTGTTCTAGCAACTCTGATACTCAGGGACATAGTCCCAAATCTAGAATTAAAAATTTTATTAGAAACAGTGATGAGAGAATACTAGCCCTAAAGCCATGTGTTATATTCCTGCACTCTGACTCAAATCTTATTTTAGGCATGGTGATAGGACACTAAGAAACCATTTCATATAGCCATGCAAACCATTTCTTTTATAATATATAAAACTAACCATTTCCTCATTCAAGACCTAAATTTTACAGCCAAAATCACAACAAAAATAAACTGAGAAATTGGGAAATAAATAGAAAATAAAATCTATTAACAAGCTACAACACAAATCAATAGTTAACAGTGATTAGATTATAATGACATTTAATAAAAGCAAATATAAAATGAACTTTATAAAAGTATAGAAATATTCTTAAGTAATATTTTAATACAGCATCACTAAGTCTGTACACATTATAATTTCATCACAATTATTTAATGTACCTTTAAGAAGAAAATATGTTTCATATGCATTTTCTTCTTAAAAACAGAAAACTGATGTATGTTTTATATGGAGAGAGGAATTGGTTATAGCTCTCATAGTCTCAATTTAAATTCAAGAACTAGTAAAACAGTGATTTCTTGATTCAGATTATTTTGCAGACAAAAAGGAGAATAATAGCAGTTTTTCTGAAATGATCATATTTTCATCAGGGCAGTCCCCCTTCCTGGACAGTTTCTCCTTCTTGGTCAGATCCTAACTATTCTTTAGTGTGCCTTTATGAAGTTTTCTGTCTACTTCAATCCCCAGTTTTCTCTCATGTTATGCAACTAAGTATACTGCTCTTTTGACATTATAACAGTATGATGAGTTTTTTTTGCCTGATTTCTCATATGTATTTTATCTTGTGTTTCCCCATCCTGATCTTTAAGGGCAATGACCATCTTTTATTATTAATCATTTATATTTCACAGCACCCAGTATAGTGTTAGAACGTCTACTTGCAAAAATACTCCAGTCTTGACTGGCCTTGTGGAATGGATGACAGGAAACACAAAATTGAGCCGAATGAAATAAATGATATCTGAAGAAATGTAATATCTTTTACATTCCATATGTGATATCCATAATAAATTGAAATATATTAGTTTAACCCATGTGTTTTAAATGAACAGATTTTGACTGTTCTGTAGTTAAGAAAAATGCTTTGGATAGAAAAGATTCTTGTGCATTGAATTTGGAGTACTACCAAATTTGTTTTTATAATTTATACATTGGTGATTACCAGATTAAAGACTATTAAGTTTCAAACTGAAATTGAAAATAAACCTGGAAATGTTTCCTTGTTCTGGAATAATAATAATAAAATGAATTGTACTAAAAAAAAGTTTTAGTCCAGTGTTCAGAATAACAGTTAAGTCAAAACAGATTTTTAAACATTCTGAGCAAGAAAATGAAATAATTGTTAACTTGATAAAAGGAGCAAGAATAAATCTATATAACTGATATAATTTCTACTAGTACACTGAACAGATGAAGTCTGTTTTTTGTAAAGTATTTATTTTACTTCTAAAAGCTATACTTTTTAGACCTACTAAGTGAATGTTAGTGAAACTTGTAAAAATTTAGAGGAATACATTTTTAGGCTATTAGTACTAGAAAAGAATTCAGAAATTATCTTCAGTCCAACCTTCTCCTTTTTCATGATGAAAATAAGTCCAATGTATATTAAATGACTCATCTTGCTACAGTTATTGCTTGTATTGATTCTAAAACCTATGTTTCTTGAATTCTAGGCCAGTATTCTCTCTACTAAATGATACTACCTCTTCTGGCAAATTAGGCACTAAATTATTGTTACAGGTAAACAAACAATCACAACACCATCAACACATTATTTTAACAAAATATCAGTGTGAAATATTAGGAATAGTGAACTCAAGTTTTAGCGAACACATAGCCTTATTTATGCTTATATGTACTCAGATTACAGGAACGAGGGGAAAGAGAAAACTCAGTGGACATGTGAATTATATAATACTAATTTCACAGTATTTTTTTAAAGAAATACATTATTTTAAAACATGTATTTTAAAAGTAAGGTAGCAAACATTGGTCAAATAAAAGTCCCTAAGTCCCCAGTGGAACTATATAATTACAAGAGATTACAAGAAAGCCAACTAGTATATTGGTTTGTTGTTAGATTGTTAGATTATTGTACCTAAAGAGTTTAGTTAGCACTAGTTTCATTCTTTGCCAGTGAAGTCAGTGTGGCACAAAGACCTTTAAAAAAGGTCTTTTAAAGTTTGTATTTACAAGAATCCAAAATAACAAGATGAAAGTTTACAGACCATTAAAATAAATTAATCTGTAAAAATGCTGGCATTTGCTTCAGTTGGTTAAGGCAGAAATAACTCTCCACTGTCATGATGAATGGCAGTAATATTTTCTCTGAAATGTGTTGTTCCTACCTTATATAGGCGTGACCTAGAGATTTGCAAAATTCTTCAATCGCCAGTGCTTTTGTACCATTCATATTAGAAATAAAGCCAGGGATGAAGATAACTCCTGGACTTTTGCCTTTTAGCTTCTTGTAAGCCAGGTTTGGAAGGTCTGGTCGACTAAGGAAAGAGACTGATGTCTTTTGTCTGCAAGCTAAACAAAGTACACAAAACATAAACTATAGTCTGCAAATACAGTTTTGGAAAATCATATATATTTTCAGTCTTAACTTGTCAAATTGGTGTCAAGGACTATTTCCATTTAATAAGAAAAACAAAACAGACTTCAAGTATTTAAGTCACAAGTCTGTGCATGGTATCTGTTAAAAATCATGTCAAAATCAGTACCTTTGAGTAAGGTACAATCTTGGTTCTTCCAAAATACACAATGAGGGAGAAATTTTAAGGCAATAAGATAGAGAACTGGTCAAAAATGTGTTCCTGTTGCTGTTTTTTCATATGTCCTAAATAGTACCAATCAACATTGTTTTAATTACATTAGTTTTAGCCCTCTCTTGCAAGATTTCTTCCTTCTTTTTAATTTTTTTAATGTTTAAGGAGTTTCCGATACTCTACTTTTTGGCAGGGAAGGGGAGAAACAAGTTTGGTCTGCCCTTGGAAAATTGCTTCAAAGGGCAAGGTGCTGTGTCCCTCTTATTACTTGCCATAATAGCCAATCATGATTCTGTATCAGCTGAGCTGAGTTTCATGAGCAGTTTCCTTACAAGTAACCTTGAATAGTATATGATAGTATCATTGTTGGTAAAAGATTTCTCACAGGGCACTGCAAGCACTGTGTGTTTTATTGTTGTTTTGGCTTTCCGTGAATGGGACACACAGATCTTAGTGCAATTTAAGGGCAACAGCACAACTGATAAACTGCACAAGGGTACTCTGTTTCATTGTTTTTAAATATCTTTCCCTACTATAAAATCAATACTTGCTCTTTAAAAAAAGTAGAAAGATACTTAAAAGCAAAATGACATTTATGGTTAAGTGACTCTTCCCCTCTAAAGTAAATAGATTTGTGTATTTTCTTAGTCTTTCTGGACCAACAAAATCTCTTCTTTTATATTAAATGAAACCTTCCTCCACTTTATTGTGGCTCAGGAAAATTTCTCAGCCTTTCCATGTGAGATGACAGTTTTCCTCATTTTGGATTTGAGAAGGTGATTTTTAAAAAACTGAATTGAAGACCTTAAAGCTGTCCCCTTCACATGTAAATTTGTTTCAAAGTTTCAATGTATAGTGAAATATGCCAAATTTAAAACTTTTAGTGATAAACAGAGCTGGCTGGGGCTACTCACATTTGTTGGCAGATTGTATCAGCAAAAAAAGTTCATTTCCCGTTTCTGCAGTTCAGCACTCAAAAAATGCTTCCTATCCTCCTCTTTACATTACTTCTCCAAACAGGAATTTCTTCCCAGTCAATTAGAATTTATCCAATTTCGGTGAGTTAAATGTGGACAAGTTCTCAACACTGTATCTATAAAAGGTCTTTGTACTATATGGATTATTTCAAAGCCTGGTGCATAAGTGCTCAATGAATGCTTGCCAAATACACGAAAGAGTTTATACTCTGCACAATGAATAGACATACCATACTTCCCCAGAGGAACTTATATATACAGCACGTATTTTGGTTGTATACATTACAATTAACTGTATGCTTAACTCAAAACAAAGGGTACCTTCAATGACAATCCCCATTCCAAGCACCATGCACCTGACAGCTGTGAAACAACAAAATCGAATAGAAAGACGTAATTCAGAAAGACTTATGCATATGAGGGGTCGGGGTAAGAGTGCAATGGTACAGAGAAGAATCAAACACAAGTAAGGAAATATTTAGATGCTCTGACTTTTGGTCCACATTCCAGTTTCTTTTGTACAGTAATGGCTTTCCCTGAGCGGGAGTGTCGCGAAGACAAAACTAGAAATTAGGCTTGATGATGACGCCTACATTTCTACAAAGAAAATGTTCATATTGTAAATTCCCTCAAGGCAAGGAAGGGCAAGTTTAGGCATCTCAACAGACAGAATCACTATCTGTAAACCTCTTACAACTCTCAGAGAATACAAGGAAAAAGCAACTAACAATCAAACGCATTAAATGCATGCCTTAATTTTTCTTAAGTGTAGTCGCTTAATGCTGGAGAGGCAGGCAGAGCGTGGGATCCTAAAACTGCAGAGCGTAAAACACCAGCAAGGCCTAGGGATTCCAGGACACCCACCGCCAGAGTTCTCATCACAATCTTCACCGGAGTGGTGGAAAGTCTAGGACTGGGGTACTGAGAAACAAAGAACAGCATTTTTGAACGAGGCGCCAAAATCGCGCTGGAGATGGTCGGAACGCAGGGCGTACGAAAGAACGCGTCCTACTCCCGCCTTTCGATACTTACCTGGGAGCCACTGTGGCGCCTGTTCGCGTGGCCGAGCAAGTACCTCGCGGAGGCCACGGTGTAAGCCAAAGGAGACTGCCGCCCAGCCCCACCTCCGGCAAGCCGACACAGATACCGGGCCCGCCCCCGCCATCTTCCCGGCGGCCCCTGCGCCCCCTGGGACCAGCAGCGACGCCCACCGCGCACAGGAACCGAGGCTGCGCGTGCGCCGCCGCCTGGACGTGAGTTCTCGGCTGAAGGGCACCCGGATGATTGTCGACATCGGAGAGCGCACCTGCGCAGAGCGTCGTCGCTCTTGGCAGCCTTTCACTGTTAGGCTGTTGGTTTTCCCCTTACGGATTTTTTGCTTCTGGCATTTTGGAATATTTTGAGTGGCTCGATAGCTACTTTGTCGGTGGGCAGTTAGATACTCCAAGGTCGGAAGCCGCAGCCAACGTTTATAGATAGGAAACCGAACACTAGGGAAGGATACATAAAACACTAGACTTCCTTCTTTTCAAGGCTGTCTCACTCTTACCGGAAATGCTTCCAAGAGCTGACCTTAATCCTGCTGCCTGGAGTGCTGTCGAACATTCCCCAGTCCTTCGCCCCTCTCCAATTTGTTTTAGCTATTTGTATGACCGATTGTTAAATAATTGGATTATTCTGACTCTTGCCTTATGCTATATGCAAAAGTAAATCCCAGTACATAAACAATCTCAACAAAGGAATAAAATTGAGAGGATTAAATAACACTTTAAGAGAATATTTTAAAGTCTGGGGAGAGAAGGGACTTACCATGAAAGATATGGAACCCCCAAATCAGAAACAATAAAACCTTGTTTGTATACTAACTGAAAATATTTGAATTGCAAAAGGCAACTCGACTCAAATGAGTCTAGAAAAATTGATTTTACAGCATAGATAAACAGTATTGAAATTTCTATTCAGCCTGCTCCTAGGAATGATAAAAATTGCAATAAAATTGGCCAATGGCTATGAATAGGTAGTTCATGTATATCAAGATGATTCATTAATTGAAAAAAAATGTGAATTAAAAGAATAATATTCCATTTTCCCCCCCACCCATCAGACTGGCAAAAATTTCAAAGTGCAACTATTGTCAAGGTTGCTGGGAAAATAGCACACATGGTTGATGGGAGGGTGAAGTGCTAAACTCTTGTCAGGTAATCTGACCACATCTGAGATATGCATCATTTTCAATGTCCTTTGACCCAGTGGCCCCATTTATGACTCTCCTATAAAGAACAATACTCGTTCATAAGAATGCATATTGTCTATTAACAGCACCATTTTTAGAGGCAAACAGAAGAAAAAAAATGGAATAGCTAATAATGAAAAATGGTTGAATAAATTGTGGTATAAATGTTTCTGGATTCCAGCTTTGACACTCTTCAAAGTAATTCCTGGGGACCTCGGGCATCAACACATAAGGCCGTAACTAATTTTTTTTTTTTTTTTACTTAAAATTAACTGTGGCTGGTATAGTAATTTGAAGCCATTTTACTGTCTTGGTCATAAATTCTGGAGCAACGATTGGTGCTAGTTAAATGCAAATCTACCCTATCTTTGGGGTCTTGAGAACCTTTCCTTTGGAAACACACTAAAAAAACTGGAGAAATAAAAACTGAGTAGATCTTTCTTGAGTTGTAGCACCAGAAACTGCCCAAACGTCCTCTCAGCAGCCACTCTGTAAACCTCTAGCAGGGCATTAAGCTGACAGTTGGGTACTCAAAAAATAATAGTTATTATTTTTAGTCCTACTAAGATCTTTCCTGATCTAAATTTTGGAAACTGAAAGTTACTGAGCTATTTCGCCAGTTCTCCAATAGACCTATTCTATAGACTCCAGAGGCACTAAATCCCTGCGTGACCCCGTTTGCATGGCCCTTCACGATCCCTTGTATCTTAACAAAATAAACACTTCTCCCTATATTTTTTGGATAATTGCAAATACTCCTAGTTATTCCTGTCCCTGTTCTCTCCCTTAATTTTTGCAGATTTTTGTATTTTATGTGCAGAAAAATGAAAAGAATACGACTTGTTCTCATTTGTTCCCTGTCACATAGAAGGATAAGTAAATGTAGTCCCTGCCATCCACAGTAATAATTGCATCTGTCCAAAGAGACAGTAAGTTGTCAGATTTTTCAGGGGTTATCTCATTTTGTTAGCAACAAGAATGTGACCAGAGATACTTCTAATTACTTCAATTTATAAATTACAAATGATAAAGTTAGCATACAACCACGTTTATGTAGACTCTATAACTGCATTTTGCTGATAAATCCATCCCGTCATGTTACTAATAGGTAATTTCCTAAAGAGAGATGAGTTTATTTTCAAATGTGAAATCTGGTCAACA